ATAAATATGAAGACAGTTCTGTTTATTGTGCTCGGATTATAGTGAAAAAATGCCCTATTTAGACCACAATCACTTGTTTTCGTTTGAGAAAATGTTGTTAGCACAGTGATCACTTTTCTGCGTTATCCCCTATCAAATAGATACATCAAGGGTCTGCCAGAGACGAGATGTGCCCCATTCTGATTGGAGATTTGAAGGGGGTCAGTAGACTTTTGAAAAATGCTCGACTTGTGAGAGTCTACAGATTGCCTCAGGTCGACCTTCAGGTTACGTGTAACTAACGCTGAAAATCCTTTGACTCTATCTAAATTCCATTGAGAAGTTGCAGCACTTTAGAATCAGTTTTGATGGAAAAACCAACGCAAAATATTTATTTAACTTAAAGGCAATTTCGAAATGTCCCCTCGTTGCCATGGTAACATGGTAAATTTAAGATTGAGTATGCTATTACAAAGGGTATGGCCCAGTCAACATTTGTGCCAAGTTTGAACAGTATTGAAGTCTTTTTTTATAGTTTCTTGTAACAGGAGGCTTTCCTATTAAATTGGCCATTTTCACAAAATTCTCATGAAGTAATGGCTTAAAATTACACATGAATGTTTTTGGTAAGTGTGAAATACATTAATTTATTAGATATTACATATATTTATGTACAGTAGCAGATACATGTAATACAATGTTGTATAATGAGATATTATTATTCATCATAAAATTGTGCATACCTTGTCACATGGAACTTTATCAGCATTTGTCTTTCAAGCAATATGCTTAATGATATATTTCTTAAGTTTTTACAAATATTTGAAATATTTATGGAAAATGTGTTCAGTGAAGACAAACTCGCTTTAAAGCGAAACCATACGTTGACAGTTCACAAAGTAAATATACGCGCTAGATTTGTTTGTTTGGATTTTTACGCCACGTCAACACATAACTGGGTAATCGTGCCGGATTCTATAATAGGCTTAAAATGTTATGTTAAACTTTATAAATGACAATCAAAATGAACCAATGAGATCCTAGAATACAAGTTTATCTCTTTCAAATAATCAATGATGTTTTTGATTGAATTGTATTAAAGAGTTCTTTGAGTGAATTTACAAAATAAAATCTATTACGGGCCTGTGAAAAATCATGACATTAGATAAGAGATTATAAATTTCGTATTGTTCATGGCGAAGAATCTTGAATGACACTACACCTGTACCTGACTAATTTAGATTATACTTCTAAAATAGTTTTTATGCCCCCACAAAGTGGAGTGCATATAGCGTTGCACTTGTCCGTACGTCCGTCTGTCCGAGCAAACATTTTGGGTTAAGGCTACATTACAGTAAAGAGAACAAAAGAGAACAATAGGTTCATTCCGTGATCAAAGGGTTTAGGGGCTAGTAGCCCTTAAGAAAACAAATAAAATAACAAAGAAAATAGCCCCTCAAGCCAAAATGTTGGAACGTCCGTTCGTACGTCTGTCCGCACTCACAGGACAGTAATTATGTGGCTAGAGGGACAATAGGTAACTGTTCTTTCTTTTTGACGTCATTCATTCCGTAATGCTTTTATGTGGCTATTTTCTTTTGTGTGGCAAAAAGAACAATAGAGAGAACAATAGAGTAGCCACATTATTACTCTCCTGTTAGAACGTCCGTTCGTACGTCCGTCCGTACGTCCCGAAATCTTTTGAACGCAACTCCTCTTAAACCGGATGGCAGATTTTGCTAAAACTTCCAGGATGAACAACCTTAATGTGTAGATGGTAGTAAAGGAATGAATTTTCGCTGCGACCAAATTTAACAGAACTATGGCCCTTTGTTGATTGTTTCACTATATACCATACATATGTTGTCAGTGGGGGCATCCGTGTCCTTTGGACACAGTTCAAGTTTTTTATTAATTTTTGAAAAGTCATGCTTTATCTCACTTAACGTAGTCATGAAGGACACGTGTCATTTGTTCTCTTCTTCGAGATATAGTCATAGTTCAGTTAAATATTTTTGTCCATATGACATTAATGTCATCGAGTATCATAAAAAATGTATGAACATATATGAACATACACATACATATTATTCTTAAAGCATATACAACTTAAACATCCCAGTTTATTTTATATATATTAAATTTTATTAATATTTATTATATATATATATATATATATATATGGATTTATATTCAATCAACACATTGAAAAACACATTTTCCTTTACTAATTAGTTTCATGCGCAAAACGCAATCTTCAGAAGTGTAAATGGTAGTTCTCAATAAAGGGACGTAACTATGAAGTGTAAATGGTGGTTTCTCAATAAAGGGGCGTAACTATATTAATACTGTTCATTATCTGCAAACAAGAAAACGCTAAACTTAACAAAAGAAACGAACTTGTATCAACCTGCAGACATTCCAGGAAATATCTATTAAGCAACTTTAAAAAATGAACAGTATTAATATAGTTACGCCCCTTTATTGAGAAACCACCATTTACACTTCATAGTTACGTCCCTTTATTGAGAACTACCATTTACACTTCTGAAGATTGCGTTTTGCGCATGAAACTAATTAGTAAAGGAAAATGTGTTTTTCAATGTGTTGATTGAATATAAATCCATACATACAGCTCTGGGATACCATCGAGCACTCTGTCTAGGGTTTGTACTGACTTTTAGTGTTATTGGATTTATATATATATATATATATATATATATATATATATATATATATATATATATATATATATATATATATATATATATATATATATATTTCTTTGTATTGCGTATTTAAATATGATAAATCTAAATTATTATTTGTAATTATTGTTCAATCAAAGCATCATATGAAACTATAACGCACCTTTTTCCCATATGTCAATTCTCCATCCTTAATGAAAGTAATATGGCGCAGCAGATTGTTTTCAAATGGAGTATTTTCATTGGTCACATGAAAACCTCGGACCAATGAAAATACTCCATAAAAAAGAAAAGGAAACAATTATGCTTCCTGATACTTAGTTTCGTTGTCTATTTGATTCAGTATAACTTTATAAATTTGTAAAATCTAGTTGAGTAATATAATAACACTATTACTTTATAAAAAATGATCAACAAAATAAGATAATACAGCCAGCATAATACAACCTTCAAAACAAAATATGTTTTTTGTTTTTTGTTTTTTTGTTGTTGTTTTATTTTTGGTTTTTTAAAGATGTTATGTACAAATGTTAACTTTGAGAAGACTAATAATTCATCTTCAAATATTCAAACTCTTTACTAAATTAAGCTTTAAATTAATACAAATTCATATTTCAAAAAAAATTATTGTTTCTTTATTAGACAGGACTTTGTTTCAAAGTATTGATAAGATTTAATCTCTAACCATCGTTTCTTTTGACAAAATTAAACACACATTCTTATTTTTAAATTTTGTCTAGTTTTATTATTCTTATTTCTAAAGGTTGGAGAGGTTTGTTTGTCTGCATGCAATATGATATTACAAATATCTTTGTATTTTATAAGTCATTACATAAAGAGAGCATCTTATTTGAGGTTATCGGATTTTCACGACGGATGTAGACCCCGAGTATATGCCATCCCCATCCCGCCCGAGTAAAAATGAGAGAGCTGACGGTATGTTCTTTCTATTGTGTATGATGACACCAAAAATAAAACGATTTCCCTGTCTTCATTATGTGTGAACTTCAGAAAAAAATCACATATCAGCGAGGATTCATAGATATAATCGCTATCTTTATACCCACCTTATTTATCTCTCGGACCAAGTAGTCAGTGAGCGCAATAATATACGATTTGAAAAACATTCGTTACGGAATTTTTTTACATACTCGGGTAAGTCAATGTTAATTTGTCTTATATTCCGATATGAAATTTTTTCTTTTGAATTTGATATTATAATATCTGAATACATGTTTATATTAACAAATGATTAAAGAATTCTCAGCTGTATTTGTAAAAGCATATTTTATGATTTTGATTGGCATGTTTAAAGTTGCATTCCCCCAGATTCATGCTTATTTTAATAAAAAGTTTGAAATGTATTGGAATGTAAAATTGTGAGAAATAAGCAAAATGAAGCAATTAACACATTATCAATTGCACTTACAACCCATATAAATCAGTTACCAGACAAATGGTCAAAATATCCATAAATAACGTTCAGCGCGTTAGTAACGCAGTAGAAATATAATTCTAAATACTGAAAGTCATTAATCGCACATAACATGGAAAAATATTACTTGAATCTTTAATCGTTTAACTTTTCCTTAAATCTTCATATTTCTCAAGTTTGATTCTATTGAAATAGTTTGACTCATCTGTAGGCATGCAGCTTTAGGTCTTACGACGTACCATATATGTCACATTTTCGAGTCAAATCAAGTCAAATAAAGCAAATATATGCTGGAACAGTGAATCTACGAATCACATTGTATGTAATTTTCTAAACAATTTGCACATGAATATGACTGAAGTTGGTACACATGAGAGTCAATAACTCATAAGCATACACGATCATTTTTAAATGAATAGAAAACAAATAAAAACGGTATACAACTTTGTATTTTATTTCGAAAACCCTGTGTAATTTGTTTAATTATGAGATAGACAACATTTCACTAAGAGGCAAAAACATTCCTGTTAAAGATACTTATAAATTTGTTCACGTGGATTTTAATTGTTACATTGTTTGATTAATTGTAAACATTATTTTTATCATTATTTACTTTATTTATGTTCAATCAATGGAGTGTAACCTGCGATTAGCTTATACTTTTAAAAATACTTTTATAAAACTAGATATTTACCACTAGCAAATAAAGCAACATATAAAGTTTTTGAAACCTTGATAATTGTTGTTGATAAATAAAGGTCACAAATGATAAAAATAAGCTAAAAGCTTTAAGAAAATATAAATTAATTAATCCTTTACATGTTGTTCTTATAATAATTATTCTTCCTTAATGACAAAAAAAGAAAAGAAAAACTTACCGCAGACTACCAGCCTCAAGTGCGCACGTTCCAGTAAGTAATATATGTTTTAGGAAGAAGGAAAAATACAAATATCGACGTACAACTTTTGTTAACGAGTTTACAAATGAATAACATTTTAAACATAACCACCAAATCGGTTCAAAGTTTGTATTGCGTTATTGTCCTTTCAATGTGTGGAACAATAGGCAACTTGCAACTTGCATTTACATTAACAAAATGCAAATGTGTGCACGTAAACTTTGGGTGAATATTTAGATATTTAAAGACCCTGTATGTTGTAATTAATGTTGATACCACACATACATGAAATTTTATACATGTTTATACTTATGCTTCTAAAACAATTTCAAACGTCGAAGAATGTAAAATATGTCCTGCAAATATTTGTACACATTATATCTAATCATTAAAGTAATTATTTGCATTCATTTTTTATTGGAAAATTTGACCAAGACTGTATAGCAAATAAATTTCTAACTGCCTCCCTTTATTAACATGAAAAGTAAATTTGGTATATCTTTACAAGTAATGCTTTTTGGAACTTACAATATTGATAAATATTCATTTGAGTATTTATTTTTGATAAAACCATAAAAAATACAGGATATTTAATATTTAAGTAATTATTCAAATTAATACATTTTTAAAAGATGCCATAAAATTTAAGTACCGAGTCGCGCTAAAAATCAAATTGAACATTGTTCTACATTTACGACGGTTACCTACGCGTATGCATAAACCTGTTTATTGACTTTTTTCTTTTTGGCATATTTTGCGATTCAAATGTCATAACATCAGAAAGAATTGATAGGGTTTTATCATGCAACTGCTATGGTAACCGCCCGATAACACTTGCCTTATATTTTTATTGATATCAGGTCAGTAACCTGATATCAACAATAAGCCCCGCCCATTTTAACGGACATTTTTCAATTCCTTATATTCTCATTTTTATCAGCATGTGAATTCTACAATTTTATCTCATACCCTTACAAATATGGAATCAAGATTCAATATTTATTTATTTATTATTTCTTTTTCTAGTTCAATTACGAATAAATTAGATAGCGAATAGTTAAGCACCAACTAAATGAAGTGGAGTCATGTAACTTAAATATAGCAAATGACATCATCGATGTTCACGTCAAATTATACATGTAAACAAACAAACAGGCTAGACTATATTTGAGAACTTGTAAATGTTTACTTTATTTCGCCAGATTATTATTTAATAAGTGAACAAAATGTTTCGTTAAAAAATTAGACGCATACTGGTCAAGCTTGTGTTTGATTGCCTATTGGACGTTTCTTTGATTGAAATTGTCGTGAACTTTTGAAACTGACAATTCAAGGAAAATGGTGCAGTAAAATGAGTTGAGTTTATGTGATTAATATGGATATTTTTTATTGATGTTTAAAGGTAAGAATCTTATCGCGTTAAATTCTGTTGTATCTATTATCTCAGGAAATAATCTCGAGTTGAAAGAAAAATGGCCACCATAGTCTAATTTTCAGGAGCGGAGGAAATTGTTTCAATAATTATTTCTTTGAACAAAAATGCCCCCTTCTACGAAATTCGCTATTTAAAAGTAGATTATTTTGTTATTTTGACAGTTTTATGTGTTACATAATAAATAGAAAAACATGCTACTGTCTTTTGATATCAATTTTATCAGGCTCGGCTGATATGGGCAGGAAGGGCTCGACAAGACTCGCCCCTTTCTAGCCATATCAGCCTCGTATGCTATTCTCTATATATCTATTAGCACAGGGGAGAATCACGCCGATCGTTACCAAAAACAAACAAGATGGCGGTTGCGGCCAAAAAGTAGGTTTTTCCTTTTTTTCTCTTAAATTCGTGTATCATGTTCTAATGTGAAGGTATATAATTATAAGAACCTTCTCCACAATCATGGATTTTATTTCATTATGTTTTGTCCCGTACTTCTTCAGAAATGCGCGTCACCAGATTCGAAGCGAGAGAATTTTACCCCAGTTAAATCGTGGTAACGTACGGCTTCTCTAAAATTCATTGATTCGTTTATATATATATGTATATTATCTGAAACTGCTGACTTTTAAAAGTTGTAATATATCGTCATCTAAGCATTCATGCCTATTATGGCTAGATTTATTGCAGTTAATATTAATATTGGGGTATTTTCCTGAAATGAAGACGTCTATGGCGCAAAAAAGATTCAATGATTAACGTACGGGGCCATTTTTCTGCTTCATACCATTGATTGTCTATATAATAGAAATGTTATGTTTTACTAAGACATAAGAGCGACGTGTAGAACCAAATAAAGAAACTGAATTATATAAAGTGTTTTGATATAAAATATATGTCATGTTTTTTGTATCAAGATAGATATATACCCGATCTAAATGGCTCTGTCGCAATGGGCTGTACCCGAGGTTTTGGGCTAAAACCTTACAGCCCTTGTTGCCAGGTTTGCCCGAGGAATGGATATTTGAAATCCGATACGTAATCTCGAGTGATATGATTTCTTGCGTAATCGACGAGTGATATGTTTTCTTGCATAAATTACTCGAATAAAGAGCAACTATCCCACCTTTGGTAATTTGAACAATATTTTAGATAAAGTGTCATCAAAAGTTAAACTTGATCCTGAATTTCAAATATCTGTGTGTAATATTAGTGCTCATCCGTGCTGTTCTATAGAAATTAGAAACTTTAAGGGGAGCGATAGCGACATGAAAATGTCTTTTTTTTATTTATTTCTGTGGAACAGCTACAGATGAATACTAACATACTTAGTGTCAAGCCTTTTTGGCACTTTATTACGTCACTATGCGGTTCTATGAATTACTATGAAAAATAGAAGTCGACTATGAACGGAATTCGATATAGTACCATCCTTTGTTCTTCTATGAAAATGTAAGGAAATACAGCGCTTTCATTGGATTACAAATAAAGTTAGAGACTGAATAATAAATACTTTTGGGAGTAACTCTCCGTAGTCATATAATTGCGAAAGTATAGCATGTATAGTGCTCTTTGTATCGAGAGAGAATATGTTTGCGTGTATTATGTACATATTAAAGGAATTAACACATCTTGTCACAAAGTCCATAAAAGTCCATTACCTAAGCTTTCTCTGTGAGAAATTTATTTCATGCATAAACGTAAGCAAACAAGTATCATTTATATCTTTAGACTTATTCCATTCTTTCATGTGAATTCATCAGATGATTAGCTTGACTTTAATTAGTTTTATGTTGATTAAGGGAAAATCACAAAAGACACTCTGTATTGTTCTTTATATCTATGAAGACGTTAGAAACGACTGGCAGTCAAGTACATGTTGTGTTCTTTGTTCTCATTGGACTGAAAAAAGTCGGCAGTATGGAAGGCGATATTTACTAGTGTATATATATTGCTGTATGACAATTGTAAACGGCTTTGTTTAACGCGTTATTTGAGTCTGCATTTACCCATGAGTTTGAGTTCATTCCTCTGCTTGTTGCAAATATCTTGTAGCTTTTGCAACTCTTTGTATGTAAAACATACATTTTAAGTGCAAAAAGATAATGCATAAATGGTTGTTAATAGATGGTGCATAACATTGAAATGTTAATGCTTAGAAGTTCTTACTATTCATGACGTTCTTCTTTATATCGTTTAATACACACTTGAGCTTTAAAATATATATTATTTCCTTCCGCTAATTTCGCCGTTGAAATATTTATTTTAATACACAATTCAACCAGGAACATATGTTTTGCACATAGTTCTGTATAATGCTTATTGGTGTATTAAAGCAAATTTTTATATTCACTTTAACTCTATCAGTTAGCACAAAGCAATAGCAAACATGAACTTTACCGATTGTATCTGTAACATTTTATTCATATAACGCTGGAAACTATTTTTTCGGTAGGTTCCGTAAATATGTTAAATCATTCACGGTGTATTGACAAAAATTCCAGGCAAACTAGTACAATCTAAGACGACAACTCAATAGGACAGTAAGTTTAGTTGCTGTTTCAAATATTTATTTCGTTGAGAAATTTGCACTTTCTTCCCTACATAAGTACTCCAGGCACCAGGCATTTTCACTGACCGACTATTATATCCGTCATCATCATGTACCTTAGTAAACTCCTAACCTAGAACTGTTGAGGCTAGTCGTAGGGCATTTTTAAAATAATTAAGATATAAATGTATTATTTTCTTAAAATGTTTGGGTAATTTTTATCAACTTCAATTTCAAACTACTTTCATCAATGCAAGAATTTATATTAATGATAGGTCATTGTTAAAATGAGACTTTGACGCGGTCATCGTCTTCTTCAATATTTATACTTCATTGTGCGCATGCCTAACATGACATAACGATGGTGAGAGCACGATAGTACGATGAGGAAAATACTACAGTACGATGGTGACAGAACAACAGTACGATGTACGTTAACAATATTCTCAATCATATAGGCGCTATGCATGAGTTATAATCACATTATATTTTTCCTTCATTCCGTTAAGAAAGGGTGATTTGCCTAGAAAAACATGTTTGAAAAAGATATGGGATGTGGCCTGTCTCTTTGGATCTGTCTGAATAGCTATAATATATCTATATAACCATATTTCTACTGCTGATCTTCGTTATTTGACCCATCTTTCCGAGAGTTTCAATAAACAATATCAATTCAAAAATGAACTTCGGTCGAAACATCACTTTTTGTGTAGACGAGAAAACTTAACCACTGAAAACAAAATATTACATATTTCCCTTTTCTTCGCCAAAGTACACGGGTAACTAAATACTATTGCACTGTAAAACCACGGAAATTACCTAAGGTCACTTTTTTCAACAGTTACCTCCCGTATATAATAAGTTGCACTAGAATGTTTAAATATTTTTTACTGGTTCCACACGAAGTTTACATTAAACCGTGCATTTATCAAACGATTGACGGTTATACTCAGTTTATGCATCATGTTTAAATAACTCCATTCCTGACGTTTAACCATATTTTTCTACCGTTAATGTTTTTCATGATTACTTTCTTGAATATTTAATTTAAACAACAGCTATGTGGTACGAAACAAGAATAGTGTTGAATAAAAAGCCGATACATACAAGTTAAAGCACATTAAAGACTAAAGTAGTTGATAACTACTTGTCACATTCAATAGCAACAAAATCAAATGAACATAGAAATATAAAAAAAACTGTCAATCTATAATTTTACAGATACATATTTCAAGATCACAAATGCACAAAAAAATGTTAAACCACGGACACTCAATGTGCAAAAAAGAGTTAGTCGGATATTGGAATGAATAATAACAATAGCATAAAATTACACGAAAAACAAATTACTTATAAATTGAATATTATGCAGTTTGTAGGAAGCATATGAAAGTAAATTACATTAAATTGTAATTTAGCAGGAGACATGCACTGGCAGATATCCCCTTCCATAATGGCAGGGGTATCTGAAAATATCCTGATAAACAGATAACTGTCTCTTCTTTTCCATTGAACTTCACTAAAGGAGCTGTAAAACACACACCTACTGTTAATTAAAAACTCATATGTCAGTATCAATAACGAAAGGGAATGTTTGTAAAACATGGAAATGGAATCCGTATGAAATTATGCGTTGTCATTTTATTGAAGTTCATTTAACATGTATTATTGTCGATATAGAGATGTAAGAACTATTAAGTCTGTCTAATAAGAAAATTGTCACCAAACTCCTTAAAATCAACGCAAAAGGTCGAGGTTGATTGTCAGTTCATATCCATTGATACTATACTAGGGATTGAGCATCTAGATTGACTTTGACTGTTTGACCGTTGGTGTCAAGTGCAACAGCTGGGTAAAGGTCTTGCGTTGTTAGTAATTTTGTTTCTCCGATCTGGAAAATGATTAAAGGTAGTAGATAAAACAGACAATGCCTCAAAAGTCACCTTAAGCGTTTACATTATCAATCTAATACAGAAAAAACCTAAAGAAAGCATAAAAGAAATAGATATCTTGCTTGGAAAAGAGACGATAATTAAGTAACAAGTTTGAATCAGTTATTTACAAAACCTAAGGTAACAGTTTTAGTTGTTTTATCTTTATCTAACTGTAGAAATGGTACAAAGAAGTAATAGTTTTAAAAAATTGTGAACAAATTCAACGAAAAGTATATTTAGATTTCTGCTGCGGTTAACTGAATATTTCAGAAGGATCTGATAGAGGGCTAGTTCAGCAAACCCATCAAATATGAAACAACTTTCATTTTAGTAATGAAGCACTTTGAAAACAGATTGTCAGTTAGTTATCATAATGTGACTTGCAATTTACACGTGGTCATTAAACAAATTAAAAACGGTTTGTCATAAATATTGCTTAAGTGTATATTCCAAAAGACTTTAACATCTAAAAAATAATACAATAAATTAGACTTTTATGACGCCCAAAAAAATTGCTCCAAAAAGATGATTTAATATGCTGTCTTCGTTTTACTGGACCTTTGTTATCTTTTGTCCAGTATCACAGAGTAAAAGATGTAAATTAAACACAGATTCAAACATGTTACCTTTTGTCCATTCTTTGTGAAGAAGACATTAACACAAAACATTTCCATGCTTAATATTCCGCAACCCATCTTATCAGATTCACTACAAGGGGCAATAGCCGCTCCGTATTTATTTTCGTTGAAAATTCTAGAGTGGGATTAAATTCATAGCAATTCAGACAGTTACAGACAATTAAAAAAATAATATTAATAAAAAAACAAAACAATACATTGTAAGTGTAAAACTTTACATAAGGTTGGTCACATTATTTGTGGCTGGTTTGTATCTGAACCTCATAATAGTGATAATCAATAACAATAAACTTATTTGTAAACAACTATAATGATGATTAAAATAATTTCGATGCGACAATGATGCTTCACACCTTTGTTTTGTGTGCTATGAATAAATTAGTCATATGGAATTTTGAAAAGCAACTTTGAATCGAGTGTTAAGCTCACCGCCGTATCATTTAGCGGAAGGGTTACTTTTAAATACAATGACATAAGACGGTATGAGGTTATAACGTTATAAAAGTCAAATTTTAAATAATCACGCGATTTGTTTTTGGTTTTTGAATATTTTGATAAAAAATAATTTCGTTAAATATGGAGTTTTTTCATTTGAAAAAAAAAAACAACAACAAACAAACAACAACAGCACCAACTTACCGACCATCATCAGAATGATACGCAACTGAGCCTTTTTTCCAGCCAGGAAACTGTTGCACTGGATAGTTAACAGGCACAAGACCAATTGCTATATTTGTAATAAAATGCATACACATGTATAACCAGGGATAGGAATGAAATTGTATTTTAAGCTGGACGAGCTATTGTACGCGTCATACTTTAGCTAAGCTTGTTGGTATCTTCCAATTAAATGAAACTGGTTTAAAATTAACATTAACTTATTTTAGGACATAAAAGTATGGCAGTGTCCAAGGCATATAAATCTAACACGGACTTTGACCGAAATATGGTCCTTTGAACGTAGAAATTTCTGCATGCCCAAAAATGCTTTTTTTCATATCTCAAAAGCTTTTTTTATACTTTTGGTGTCCTGTCAAAGTTTCGAAAACAATACTAATATTATTAGCCATTTATCTGAACTACTGTTGCATTTAGACAGTTTGTACAGATATAGTGATGTAGTATTTTGTATGGAAGTCAAAATACTACTTTGTTTACATTTTGTTACTTTGATGAAAATTTATTTCTCATTACAGGCTATTTTCTTCAGGTAACAAGCATCAAACACGCTCTTAAACCATTATTTAAACGTTGTAAAACCAATGTATGACCTTTCTGAAGAAGGAAAATAGTAATCGTTTCTAAGGCATAATGTGCCCTCCAGCCTTGAGCATAGTCGAGCATGCGCTCCAAGGTACAGCTCTTGTTTTTTAAAAAAATAAAAAAAATATCTGCATTTCAGATACATTTAGTCAGTACAGTATTGATCACTATTTTTTCAAGCACACCTTTTATTAAGATCTAAGTAAACACTTTTAATGAACTAAGGTGACAAAATATTAGAACATAGCTCTAATTGGAAGAACAGCGATTATGGAACCTTATCCCGTCAACATATATTTTCCCCAGTTTCTCAGAGCATTTAACATTAACATTTTTTTAAAAAAAACATTTACTTACCAACAGAGCCGCCCTTTCTATCATGTAGTATCTCCAACTCAAAGTAGCTTTTTGTCGTCATTTTGGTGTTTCCAATAAATATACCATTTGAGTCGCCAAAATGCGTATATCTGGAAAAGTATCAACACTATTATAATTAAAAGCATGAAAATTTATGTTCGAAAGAAATAGTATGTTCTTTGCTCACAAATAATTACTTTTTTATGTAACTTACAATGTCAACCAACTTTTTAATGTATTTTCACCGCCATGCATTATTACTCCGAGAGCCATTCTTCATTGATTTTATCATACTAAAATGCACTTTATAGTGTGTTAAAACTTTCACCAATGTCCAGATTCTATCAAGAAGCATACTCAACATCACTGATTTACAACTCAATAAATCAGATTGAACTGTTACAATAAAACATTTACTGTGAACATTTTTTATCGTGCAAAGAAAAACAATAATCAGCTTATTCTTTATTGCAAGACGCTTAATACACCGTGCGCATTTGCAAACGTCTGTGGCATAAAAGTAGAGCGGTCAAGGGAGATAACAAAAGCATTAAGTTTTTCGAAGTCTATTTAGAATACTCGCCCCTGGGGAATATTGCAAAAAAGTATTGATCCCATAATAAGATAAATCAAAAAATAAAACGATGTCACATAAGGCTATATAGTAAAATGTTCACATGAGTTATAAAGTTAACTGCCGCGTATGTAAAAGATAGAGCATGATCTACATTAGCTAGACAACAGTTTTACTTATACAGTTGAACTTTGATAATTTGAATTTAAAAGGACTTACGCAATTGGACTTTTACAAATCTGAGTTTCGACTCATGTATCAGTTTTAATTTAATTGAAAAAAAAAACGACGCTTACAAATGATTCACAAAAGGCGTAAAAAACTGAAAGGACCATTAATTAACCAGCATATGGAAATATATCCCATATGATTATCACACGACACAGTGTCTTATTAAATCCAAATCGAAACTCATTCGTTATACATTTCTTCAAATACAACTATGACATTTAGAATAGTTTCAATTGAATAAGCGTATTCTCACTTAGATGTTTCAAAAACAAGTGTGTGTGTGTGTTTTTTTAGGTTTATTTTAGCTCGGCGCCGGAAATTCCATATGTCCGAGATCTCAGCGTCCATGCCGGTCCACTCTAATAGTCTTAGCGGGGATGTCTTTTCCATGCCGATCTTCTTAAGTCCTGTTCTTCGTTCGATGAAGGAAAGACAATACCGGAAAAGCATCAAGTTCCATGACGGCTGTAAACAGGCGGTTGACATAAAACAACTCTTGATAGCGCCACCCTCCAGAGTTAGTCACGAAAGGTCAACCAATCACCTCTGGTACTTAAGATGACTCGACATTGACCTGCCGTGTGCCTTCTCCGCGACGTACACGCCTCTGGAGGGATTTGGACAAGTGGCAAAAACAAGGCTTGTAATTTACACTTATATACAAGTTTTACGCCTCGAAAAAGATTTACAATTATCTGAAAATCCATGATGCCTTATTAATTAAGGAATTCCAAATATTTCTTCGAATTATTTTGTACCTACCATAAAAATTGACGCAAATCGAACACATCGATACATGACTCATGCACGTAAAAAGGTTAACAAACAATATATATGGGGAAATCGGGACTTTCAGTTTGCTTCGACACATATGAATATCGAGTAATAGAAGTTCGATATATATTATTAGATGTTCTGTGTTTAGTCATGTCGGGGTACATTTCCTGGAAGAATTAAACAAGGTTATATAACATAAACGGGATTAAATGAGCCTACCTCAAGCAGTCATCATCAATTTGCAAGAATTCTACTCTTTGCGTCAAATCTTTTAAGCCGCGACTCTGTAAATTAAAGATAACGTGTGCATGAACATAAATTTGCTTTAGGGGACTTAGCTGAGTAACCCAATATTTGATTTTGTTGTAACTATATTTACCTTTCAAATCGGCATAAAAGTCCATAAAGGGATTGAAAAGGAATTATATTCTAAGTATACATGGTATATATCATTATTTCCTTTACATTTTGTTTTCATTTTATGTGCTTCACTTGATGTTTTGAAATAATTTCAAGTTTTAAGTCTCTTTGACATAAGTGTTTTTTCTTAAATGACCCAATGAGATGATGGGTAGTTCACTACAAGCTAAAGTGCTTGAAACGCTGCTAGATAATGTATTATGCATATGTTGTACAATCAAAAACTCATCCAACTGAAAACTAAAAGTACAATTTTATAAAAATATAATTAACTTGAACGGAAACAAGTGAAGTGTTGATAAGTTAAGATGGGAATTGTGTAAGTCTTTGGTTATGAGGAACCAAGAAAGGGGGAAACTTATCGATTTACTCTTAAGATATTAATAGGACAATTGCTACACACAAAGATGTGTTGTTTAAAACTATGATTATGAAACAACAACACAACATTACACTTAGAATAATGAACAACATACAACATGCAAATAATGCCACAAGTTTCCTTAAAAAAAATACCAAGACTAAAAGCTTGAAACGATGTGAATTTTACTTTTATATATTTCTTTTACCTGCTTTCCATTTCCAGGCATTGCGTTCTCCGGAATAAAGTCGCTACCTGCATCTAATTCATCTGCAGAATAAAGAAAAGTTGCATCAATTTCGAAAAATGTTCTAGGTAGATTCCTAAGAATTGTAAAACACAGTGTTACTCCTACCATATTTAAAATAATAAATTATATTCTGAAGATGTTGCTTTGATTACATGCATAACATCATCGACAAAAATAATTTGACTCGATATATTCTGGCAATATATTTTTTTTAATCAGATATAAATAATCATATCTAAACAGAAGAACATAATGATGTTTTGGAAATTGTGACAATGGCTAATAATGCATACTAATTCTTTAATGACCAACAAAATATGACATTGATTGGTCATACATTTTAGATGATAAATTGTTACAATACATTAGTTCCTTTAACAATGAGACTTCGTATGCGATAAATGCCAACTTAATTTTATTAACTAACCATTTTTGAATTGAATACAGCCAATCGACTTGCATTTGTCCAAAACAGACTCAATAAGGCTGTCCTTTCGAAAAAAGTATCTTTCTGTTGTATTCTGTTTTCTTAAGTCACGAGTCGTAGTAGACATCTCCTCTAAGGCATTTTTCAAGCTTTCAAATTTTACAAACAATTTGTTTGGTTGGCACTTGTCTGCTTTAAATGATTCTTCCATGGATTGTAGATTACGTTGCACCACTGTAGCCTTGCTCGTAAGTTCTGTTTGCTCTTGAACACTTTTGTCTTTGTATTCGTTTGATTCGGCGCAAATATCCGCTGCGAGTTGGTTGACATGATCGATAAGAGAGTCTCTAAATTCTTGTACGTCAAGAGTAAATTTATTATGAAACATTCAAGTTTTGCATCGATATTGTTTCTTATTTCCGATAAGCAAGCTGTGATCTGAGAGCTGCATTTCTGTAAATTTTCTTCAAAAGATTTAACATCTTTGCTACTTTCAAACTCGGCAGCCTTTTGGGGAATATACACTACATCACACGCCTTATGTTCGATTATCATGCAAACCGAACAGCCACACATATTGTGGGCTGCACAATAGAATTTCACGGATTTTTTTCGAATGTTGCTTACACTTTTCAAGTCCATCTACTGATTGATTTAGACTGTTAGGCGAGGTTGATTTCTTTTCGAGTAAA